ACTGAGAGTGCTTAGAGAAAAACACTGCACATTAACAACAATTAAGAAAAAGGCTTGTTTAAAAAGCACTAAAGAGTTCCAGGCCAGCTACACTAGCATGTAAATAAACCATATCAATATTAGAGTGTTTTCTATCATCTTACATTTACAAAATTTGAACAACATGTTAGATATAATGATGAGATTTATAAATGCATAGCAAAGAGGGAGGGAATTTGCCTGAAATGTATTAATACTAAAAACAAGTCTAATAAACTAATCTGTGGACACCACTTATGAAAAAATATTTTTAAGTTTCGAAAATGGCCGATTGTAAAGCCGGCAGAATTCATAAAATGATGCCTTTAGTTTGACAACTTGATTTAAATTTATTGTAAACTACTGGACCAAACAGAAAGACTTAAAATAATTAATAAATAATTAACCCCCTGTGGCAGATCAAATACAGAAGCATGTTTAACACTACAGTCACTTTTCAAAGTAATTTGTGATCGAATGAAAAATGTGTCTCTTAATACAAATACCGATTGACTTTTCAGTTTATTCAAACAAGTAGAGCCTAGTCTCTAAATGACACATTTAAAAATTGTTTAAAATAGAGGAATGAATTGTAGCACATTATGAATGGACGATGGCCTGTGTGGGTGTTAGTTGTAACTTTCACGACTGCTTTGAGTCTTGTGTTAAGTCACCGGTGTGATCATTGTGGAGCAATATTATCCCATGACCATTGAGAAAAAATATATATTTAAAATTCAAGAAATATATCTGTCCACTAGAAAATATTTCAAATCACCCGTTTGAAATAGACTGTGTATTTATCCATTCAGGAGAGGCCAGAGTGAATGTAGTGTGTGTGTCTGTGTGAGAGAGATGAAGATAAATATATATACCTTATCAATAATCTTTTGAAAATGCACCTCCACAGTGCAGCTCTGCACATCCTTGTGTTTATCAGAGCTGTGAATCAGCACCGAGAGCTTTTTAGATCGGATCTTTTGAGCTCTGTATCCAAACACAAAGAGCATGGAATCTATCACGTTGGACTTCCCACTCCCATTCGGACCAATGATGCATGAAAAGCGCTGAGAAAAAAAGATAAAAAAATATGTTAATCAATTATATAAAAATATACTGCATCCACAAACAAATACTGTGAATGCCATAACATTACACGCTGTACATTAACATTTAAGCATAGTCACACTGTGACAGTGAATGTATTCCCAGTGGGTGTAGATCACTACACTCACTAAATCAAAATGGAGTTGTGTGACTTTTTCCACCTTTAACATTTTTTTTGAACTCAACACATGTTCTAATAGTATGATTCATTATTTTAAATAGCATCAATAATATTTGTTGTACTTTTTGTGTCTACCGCTACACAAGGCAACATGTACAGTGGCAATAATATGACATTAAAGACAAACACAATCCACTTGAGACACACTACAGATGATTATAAATCTGTGAGCTTAACACTACACATTAACGAGGCATTTCCCACGCAGGCTTGATGTGTGTAACCATGTTTGGTCGTACCTTGTGAAAAGGCCCCAGAATCTGCTCGCCTGCATATGATTTAAAGTTGCGGTTGACTAAATGTGTTATCATGAGGCGAGGAGCGCCCGGTTCATTGGTCATTGCTGGGGGCGGGGGTGGAGGGATGCTGCCGAGAATCTCCTCCAAACTTCGGTTATCACCCGCCTCGGCAGCTTCCCCGTGAGACAGATCTGTGGCACAGAAGAAGAAGAAGAAGAAGAAGAAAAAAAGCTTTAATTCCTCTGTGCGAGTCGTTTCAGGTGGGGGGCAGTGCTGCGTGGGGGAGGGGTGGAGGAGCAAAAACAAAAACAAACAAACAGCAGTCAAACAACGACTCCAGAGAAAGTTGACAGGCATTCATTTTCTTTGTTCTGAAAAAACACAAGAGCCAACCCGAAAGAGACCCGCTTTATGAACACATATTATTATACAAACGCACTCCCCGACACGCGTTTATACGTGCGAGTAGATGCGCCACAGTCATTTCTTTTCGCTCTCTCTCGATAATAAATAAGTGCACATTTCGATCACCAGCGTCACATTTGCACTCATTCTTAACTGCACTCAAAACGCAGACAGGGGAAAGCCTTGTTTTTGTGATTGAAATGAATAAACGTTAAACCGATTATGTTGCCATCACACCAACAACGACCTGTCCACAATCTATTGTGCTCACAGAAGCATAAACAAGCTGAGGGTTCGATGTTTGTAAATCTAATGCTTGCAGCCAGATGAAGCATTTCAACACACACATCACTTGGTCTTCATCTTAAGGCTTCGCGTACAATTTAACCACACAACTCCCATTTGATGAAGTTATAAGAATAACGCCAAAACTCCCTTTTGATCTTACTCCATAAAACACTTTATTATCGAAATGAATTACCTCGTTTGCTGAGAAGATCCGGGGAAGAAGAAGTACACTCGACGATAACAAAATCATCTCAAAAATTAGAATTTTTTTATTGATGACTGACACTTTAGAAACTTAAAAAAAACAATAAAAAAAAACAGCCACTCTAACTGCGTGTTTTAAGTAAGAAAAAAGAAGCTTCAAAGCAGTGGCAACTGGCCACTACGACGACACACGCAGAGCCATTGAGTGAACACAACTTATTTAGATTCACAGACACCAACACAGCCTTTGTTACTTGCCAGTTGTCGGAGGTGCCTCCTCTGGGCCATTGGAGCGAGTTTGTTGAGGTACATCCAGCTCGTCTCCGGAGTCATCCCGACGCTGAGACCCTTTCCCTCTGGGCTTGGCAGTGGAGCTCTTTGCAGTTTTAGATGGCATGGTTTGAAATCTTAAGGGGTCATTGGGAAAAAAAAAAAAAAAAAAAAGTAATATCCATGAGTGTGTCTGTCAATCTCTCCACTTTTAGGTCGGTCACACGCAGCTTCTGTTGTCAGGCTTTAATCATTACCAGTCAGATCCCACACTGACGCCCATCAAACTGGTAGTCCGTATATATTTTTTTCAAATGAGACCATATTTTTGTGGATTTAAAAAAACAAAGTAACAACACGAATAACAATGTTTGAGTTGGGACCTGATCAAATGTAGTTATTATGAGATAACATTAAACGAGATGGGAGCGTTAAGGCTGCCAATCTGCGTGATGATTGAAGCAAACTAGTTGCTATTCTAACACCAAACAGTACAAATGAACCTCCACCTGTGACAGAATGCTTTTTAGTAGCGTGTGCATCTAACGCATTTGATTCGCGCGTCAGAGTCGGACAGTTAATGACCCAATGATGCGAAGAACAGAAAATAAGGTTAACATAACAAATTCAGTTAATATGCAAAGAGATAAATCCTCTGCCAACAGCTCAGTCTAACCTATGTTATGGTTATCACTGAATAGACGCAGCTGAACAGGCTCTCTGGTCGGTGGTAAAGACAACGATGTCACAAACTGACACTAATAATAACTTAAATCCTCTAAACTTGTATGTAAATCAGACGGGCCAACCTAACTCTCTAATAGGACATTAAAATAACAAATGGAGCTAACCTTAACTTTATGGTATCGTTGGGCGAATAACTACTAACGTTAACTACGTTATAACTAACGTTAACTACGTACGTCTGCTAAATAAGGACCGTAGTAACTCTATCGTAGCTGGGCCACCGGATAAAAAAACATGGAACGTTACGCGTTTTTTTTTAGTAAAGTGTGCCACGTTACTGGATTGTTTTCAGTTTGCTAATGTTAGAGTTAAGTTAGCAGCTGTAGCTAACGGTAACTATCTGATGTGAACGCCACAGCCACAGCAAAGCTAAAGCTAACGTACTGGCTAACTTTGACTAGTAAACGTCTGCGTTGTGGAACGTTAACGCAACGCTGTAACGTTAACTGTAACTGTAACGGTACGCAAGTAAGCGTCATCTGAATTGAAAGGGGCGCTTAACAGCACAACTAACGTAGCCCAAGATAAAGTAGTTGACGTTATCCAGACAAAGGTATTACAGCTAAAATGTTTGCAACGATGCGCATCATTAACATAAACTCAGACGATCGAAGAAGTAACTAACATACTATTGTTAGGGGTGTGTCTACAAAAAGGCACAGTTTGCTGTAAATTGAATATTAGGCTAAAAAGCGAACATCTCTCATTACATTCCAGAGTATTGATACCGTTGATCAGTACGCTTCTCACCGTTGCTTGTAGTCAAAACGCAAATTAACGTTAATATTAAATCTGGTGAGGAACTAACGTTATGCATTTCAGCAAATAGACGGAACCCAATCATTAATTTACGCAGCGCTAAAATGTTTTTTTCAATGTACCTTCCACAATATAGCCACAGTCTGTCAAGAGTCGTTCTCTCTGACCCCAATTCGCGATTTCGTAAAAAAGTATTCGTTAATCCAAGATTTGGGCAAATATAATCCACAAAACTCAGCCCCGTGTCATTCCGAGTCGCCTCTCCTGGTTGAACACTCTAACTTGTAAATGGCGCCTAAACTGTGCCGTCGAACCAGATTCGTTACAAACTGACGCAAGGCACCATGGAACGTTCAAAGGGCAACGGAAAAAAAAAACACGAAATTCAAAAAAGGGGACGAAGCCAACTCCGCCTCGCTCCAAACAAACAACAATCATACGACACGAATACTCAGACGAAAAAACGCAGAAAGCAACAGTACTTCTTTACAATGTTATATGATTTAAGATTATTGTCAGATTGAAACGCATAATGTTTCTATGTGTTTAATCGGTTACGAGGTTACAGTAGAAAGAAGTCCCGACCGGAGGGATACTTTACATTTCGTGAAATACTTTAAACGATTAATGTTAGTATCTCAGATTTTAATGAGTGCTATTAAATACGTTATATTTATTTAACAGATTTCATTTGTAATCGCCATTCGAAATATCCGTTTTCACGGAAGCGAGACTTTGTAACTCTCGCGAGATATTTCTGTTCAAGCCTTTCATGACCCAGATAACATGGCTACCAGAGATTAGCCTTGATACCGTTAGCAAGAAAGTGTTGCTTAGTGATGGATAAGGCGTGCTCTGTACAGTATTGGCTCTTAATGCATCTTTTGCTGGAGTAAATGACACGCATACACATCTGGTGGTTCCGTAATAAAGTCGGTAACCAAGTTAAAGTTAGCATTCACGTTAGCATGAAAGGCTCGGGGACATCTCAGGATTCACGTTAGCAACAGTGGCAGGTACCGTAGCAACAGCAGACGCTTGTTAAATTCACCGTCACAGTTACCAGAGCATGCTAACGGCTAAGGCTAATCTACAGGGTACTTGTTCAACGATTTGATTTGGTCTTTTGTATTGTTTCTTTCCGTGTGTTGGCTTGGTACTGTCACTAACTGATGTTTTGTTTAGGGATCAACGGAACAAACATACAACCATGAGATTGAAAACATCGCTGCTACAGGAACCCAAACATATCCTTTTTATGATGTTGTTGTGTTTCTGTACAGCTGCAATATATGTAATGTAACACGACGTCAAAAACTATTATTAACCTGTATTAATGTTAGCACCACTAGAAGTAACGTTAGCAATACAGCGTTAATTATAGTAATTGGTACTTTCTATTGCTTGGTTTGACCGAGCACCTTAGTTGTATCAAATCTAGAATATATTCATTCTTTCTTCAGGAGACCCTATTTATAGCAGATGATCAATTTCCTTAACAGCAGATCACATAAGGAACTTGTGAGTTGTGTTGGCTGGACCACAGCAGATGAGCTGTACTCGTGCAGTGAGGACCACCAGATCCTCAGGTGGAACCTGTTGACCAGTGAGACCAGTCTGGTTGTCAAATTATCAGAGGACATTTACCCCGTTGACCTACATTGGTTCCCCAAGACCGTTGGTGGCAAAAAACAGAACCAGACTGAGATCTTTGTCCTCACCAGCACTGATGGCAAGTCTCTTCATTCTCTAAAATATGGCCAGTGGACTCGGCTTTGTTTCTCATCAGTATATCTGTTTTGTATCACAAGTTGTTCATTCAGTGAACAGACAAATTACATGATCTGAGATTGTTTTCAGACACAGCTTTACAGGGAAATAAAATTAGTTTGAAAACAAAAATAGCAATTGTCAAATGCTTACTGAACTAACTAAATGTAATATCTGGTGACACCTCAGCCTGGTTTTTATACTGAGTAGGGTGACAGTGTCTTGCTTTATCATTTCAATGTAGTGAAAGGAAACCATCTCAACCAGTTTGATACTTCAGATAAGCATATTCATTTTCACTTCAGGAAGAGGATTGTAATACTGCAGTAAAGCGTGTGTCCGTCTCTAGTCTAGTTTTTAATTACGCCTTCAATGTTAAATCATTAAAGGCGGAATTTTGTTTTCCATCTTTATATTTATAATTCCAAACTTGGCAACAGAGTTTGTTTGAGGTGCATCCATATGGCCTCTTATGCCTCTTTTTCAGCCTATAAGATACAAACACACATAATATGGATGTACTGTTATGGCAGGCAATGTGTGGTCACAACACTAATGGCAGTGTAGGGTTGCTTAAACACACCCACAAACTGAAGCAGCAATTTTCTCTGGCAGACCAGAGAATGAAAACTCTGTTATGATTCACTTTTGCAACTTTCTTCTGCTTTTTGCCTTGTTAAATATCAGTATTTCTATTGTGATTGTTTGAAATAAGTTTTTGTTTTTCATGGACAATGAAACATGACAATCACACAATTTTATTTTTAACTTTGGTGTGCACTGACAGATTTTGTCACATTTTGAAAGCTGGGTTATGTACAGGATATTTAACATTTGTTAAGAGATCTGCATGATATAGTTGAAAGCAGGCAGGGTTTTATTGGGTGGGAGGAGTCCATTAACATGGCTTTCCCTTGACAACCTACATTTGTATATTGCGCACACAGTTTAACTACTTTTCTGTATGATAAATAAGATTTTGTCTAATATTTTAAGGTGCTATTTCCTGTCCTTGCTTTCATAACTAAATTTAATATTCTAAACATTGAATTAATAACTATACTTCATTATGAAATGCCTAATATTTCCCCATGACTAAGCAAATTGTGTAGTTAGATGCATCATTTGCTATTCTACCAGAAATGATATTGTGTGGAATAGAGCCAGGCTTATCCCAAAGCATCCCAAATTAAGCATGAAGGATATGTCTGGGCTTTCTGTTTGGAACAACAGCGTCTCATTCACTTTTACCCCGTGGAACTACAATGTGGTGTCATAATAGATTTCACACTTATGTATCATCAGGAATTCCTCAACAAACCATATAGGCTATAAATAGAAGTAAAATAGCAAAAGGCCGATATGTTGTCATTGCAAGTTGTCATAAAAAAGCATCCGTCAGATAACAAGCAAACAAACAAATCAGCACACAAAAGCATTGAACAAACAATGTTCGGCTACATAGATAAGGACTGTTGATGTGAGTGCATATGCAAGTAGAAATAGAACATGCATTTTATATCTAAATTTAAAAGATGTTGTTTTGTTCATTTGAAAGAGTCCTTCAGTGCAGCTGTACTTGCTTGTTATGTTCACTACCTGCTGGACAGTAACATCCACATTTGTTGGGATGTCCAAATTTAGAAATGGGAGAGAGCAGCAGCATGCTGATTTGCAGTTTTAGGCCACCAGAAATTACATAGAACGTGCAGAATTTTTTAATACACACTGCCACAAAGTACATGTTAGGCCAGCATCCTCAATAACTGTGTCCATGACTGATCACCCTTCGTGTCTAGGAAATACACAATTTTCCTAATTCAACCAACAGATACTCTTTAGTTTGACTCATCCACTTTAAGTTTGTAATTTAGCTTGGAGAAGAAAATGTAGCTTTGTTGCTAATTGTGTGTCAGCGGATTGATATTTGCTTTTATTTCATTTTTGAAGTTTAGTTAATATTTTGTCCTCACTGGTGTTCTGGATTGTCAAAAAACATGTTCTGCTCATTTGCCCCAGTCAGCAGAATCAGTCAGACCTGGTCTCTGTAACCAAAACCCACATGGTAGCATAGAATTACAGCAGACAGTAGTGTTCCTCAATTATAGACTGTAAACAACCGGATCAGGCCGAGAGTGTGGACTTGCCATACAGTAAGCCTCTTTTTGTCTCCTTACAGGGAAGTTCCACCTGACCACCAAGATAGGGCGTGTGGAGAAGAGTGTAGAGGCACACAAGGGAGCTGTGTTGGCTGGAAGATGGAACTATGATGGAACAGCTCTTATTACGGGTAAAATGTCAAGGACGTACATATTTTCATTGCCATTTAAAAAGTACTCACTAAAAACATCTTCATGTCCATTTCATCTGTTTATCTAATTACTTAGCTGGAGAGGATGGGCAGATCAAGATCTGGTCAAAAAGCGGGATGCTACGTTCAACACTAGCCAGCCAAGGTAAGGCTAAAGTGCTATTTATTATTATATACGGTCACTCAACCAAAAACGAATCAACGAAGCAGAGCACATTTGTTAATATGCACGCACCCTGTGCACTGTGTTGTCACAATAATGGCTGCTGACGCCCGTTTGTGTGCAAAACTTGAAAGACTGACTAGTAATAGTCAGGCAAAAAAAATATGAGAGATGATAGATAAATCTTGATTCAAATAATTTGAATGCCAATGTAAAGCCCCTCTCCCACTCTACATAAAACCCCTACCATCTGGCATTTGCCTTAAGTGGAAAAGTTTACAGTTCTGCATTCATTCCCGGGACTAACTACTCTGCAGTAATCGAAATAGACACCCGGGTGGACGTGTGATTTTTCGCCCCTTTTCCGGTGCTTTGTGGCTTTGTGAACATATGATGAATAGAATCAACAGGGATTTGGACAATAGCCATAGCTTATTAATGTATTTGCACAATGTGCTTAGTTGAAATAAACAATGAACTCACTTTTTGAAAAGAAACAGCTGTTATATGTGCTCCTCTACCAGACTCCATTTTATCATTTTACCTCGCTGATGAACACGCTTCATTCAAACTTGACAGAAACAAAATACAACTCCATTGACAGAAACAGTCATTTTCTTTTCACTGTTCCAACAATCACCAACTCTGGTTTAAGAGTTTGAAAGAGAAATTGAATAATAAGTAACAGATTTTTCATGAGGCCGAAAGTGACACACCAGAAAAAAAAACCAGAAAGACACACTCATCTATTGGCTATGGGAAAGGTTTTTACCGTTTTACCGTGTTTAAAAATTCCGCATAAATGCACTAATTTTGGTGGGTAAAGGGTATAAAAATGGAGCCGATCTGAGTCCGATACAGTTTAAAGCAGGTTGCATCCGTAACAGCTGCCAGCCAGCAGCAGAAGCAATGTAAAGCCAGTCTCTGATCAACCAGCTGTCGGCATTTAGTAAACACAACATAACATACCGACACCAATTACACCCTCTATGTCTCTCTTTCTTTCTGTCGCGCACACACACACACACACACACACACAAACACACATGTGTATACAATTTATTTTGTATTTTTATGAAAAGCACCATAAAGTTTCAAAGCTTTGTATAGGAGTAGAGATTTATTAAAAGCAATAAAAAAAAGACTCCTAATGATACATTTTCTATCCAGAATACACATTACAGATGGCTTACTTATTAATTGAGTCATCATGCTGTTTGACTTATTGAGTGTTTCTTCTCAGTTGTGGGACAGAAAGAAAGATGGGGGGGTGTGGATGGAAGTTGGCTTCTGGGGAAATGTATGGCAAGCCTGGCAGGGGAACAGCAATTCAGCCCCAGTAGTTAGGAACATTTTTCCTTAACAGGCTCAAAAAGACAGATCTGTAGAACTCCTGGATATAGCAGCATTGCCACAGATGCACATTATCATCCACATTGCACTCGGATCGCTGCAGGTGTTGCTTCTCTTGAGAGCCTACAGCTCCAAACACACACACGCTACAGTAGCAGGCTGTTCATCTTGGGTACCATGACCAATTTTAAGAGAGAGAGAACTGTTGGAAGTGAGCGAGCGAGCGAGAGGGAGGAGACAGGAACTTGCCTCAGCCCCTCTCATCGCCTTTGTCAGGTTTAGATCATGTGACCAGTCGGCGTTTGTGAGAAACCACATGCACCTGGAGTTAGGGTTAAATGGCAGGTCCTCTCCCCTTCACAGCCACAATCCGACACGCACATTTTCCTCACACGTGTGTACGTAAGCACACACTTGTGCTCATGGTGTAGAGGTTATGTTAGGTTTTCTCAGCTGCCGTGTTTGCAAGCGAAGTGACGTTCCATAGGCTGAGTGAGGCGAGATCTACGAGGGAATGTTATACCTTCTGAGAAGAGGAGTTAACACTGCTGTATCCCAGAGCTAGTGTTCAGACCAACTCCTGATTTGTCAAAGGAGAGGGGGAATTCGTACACAAACACTTTTAATATTTATTAATTAACATCATAGTAAGAACAAAGTCTTTATGTGTGGAAGCCCATTGCTTTTGATGCAAGATCTCATTTTCTGTTTACCTCTGGTTCTGCATCTCCCAGGGTCTCCGGTGTACTCTGTGGCCTGGGGTCCAGACTCAGACAGGATCCTCTACACATCAGGAAGACAACTAGTCATCAAGCCTTTGCAGCCCAGCGCCAAAGTCATACGGGTACACTAACTTCCTGTATTCATTTCAGAGGTAGAAATCTGTGACTTAAGTCAATGCACAATTAGAATTCAATTTGTCATAGTTCTGAAACATTACCTTGTAACTACCTTTGACTCGAATGTTATGGTAATAGAAATAAAATCAACCATAAACTGTTATAAGATGAGTCACATGGGGCACACAATCAGATTCTTTTCTAAATATAAATATAAAAAGGTAAATGGACATCCCAATAAATCATACTCTGTCACAGTTTGTAGTTATATTCATATTTTCACCTATATAGCATCTGATGGGGAGTTTCTTTTCTGTTTTCGATAACTTTGCTTGATACTTTTTCATCTTGTGAGTGGATTTTGCGTATAGTTTGATCTGCCCAATGATCTGACATCACTGGGCCCTTTGCCTCCTTTTTAGGTTTTTTATAATAAACTTGAGGTTCATAGATTTGCATTGCTAAATAAAGGCTTAATAAAAGGAATGAAAATGTAATAGATCTATATGTCTTAGAGGGACAACTGCATTAAGGGACCTTGTACACCAGTGAGTATTCTTGTTCATGTATACATTTATCTATTATTCTTCTTAAAACTGAATACCACCTGGGACCTTAGATAAACAGTGGAACATTGAATATTTTCCTTCTCAACGCTATCTATGGATAGCATCATTGTGTTGTGTGGATGTATAATTTTCTTTCTCTCTCTGTCTCTCTCTCTCTCTCTCTCTGCCCCTCTCTCTCTCCCTCTCCCTCTCTCTCTCTCTCCCCCGTCTCTCTAGTGGAAGGCTCATGATGGGATTGTTCTAAAGGTGGACTGGAATTCTGTTAATGACTTCATACTGTCAGGTGGAGAAGATTGTAAATATAAGGTGAGCTGTGTTTGAGTATATTTTTAGATGTCTTGTGGGTGTGATTGTTTTTTTATGATGTTTCTATAATTCAAACCATGTCGTCCCTCAACAGGTATGGGACAGCTTTGGTCGCCTGCTTTACTCCTCATCATCTCATGACTACCCGGTCACCTCTTTGTCCTGGGCTCCTGATGGAGAGGTGTTTGCCGTGGGCTCCTTCAACACCTTGCGGCTCTGTGACAAGACTGGAGTAAGAAAAAGCCCTTTACCCTTTTATTTTATATATATATATACTGTTTATATTTATATATACACACTGGTTCCCTCAGCAAAAAGCCTATGAGATATCGCCATTGGATTTTAGAATATTGCAGAAAATAATCCGAGGGGCAAGCTCCAAGTTTATTATACTTACAGGTTTTGTTCAGCAAGATAATCTTCACAAATCAGCTCAACTGTTTTTGAAACGTAAATGCAATCAGCAGAGGTAAAAAGCAAACGTTAGGCTATAAACAAACTATACTTGTGCCGCATGAGCACGAGAACGCACAACGAGGCCGTGAAGGCTGACAGGTCGGCATGATGACCTTTGGTAGTCTCAGTTGGGCACTTGTTAGCAGCAGCCTTTTTTTAGGACACATAAAAGCTTCAAAATTTATGAGAGGGGTGTTAACTGATGTATTTTAAATCGTTGAACAAATCGTTAAAATATCTTTAGCTTCCGTTCACCACAAACCTTATTTCAGGCATCTAAACCAAAAACCTTTTCACTTGGAAATGAGCGAACTGGAAGTGCAAACTGCTAACTCATCTCTGGATTTCGGGAGTCATTCCTGCAGCACTCTTGTGCTCTTGCAATACCAATGCACTTATTGGTCCTAGTTTAATACTGTTAAAGCCTGTTTTGTGTATTTTATTTTTTATTTTCATTTACAAATATATCATTCATGCTTTGTAGTCAGTCCCTTTTCCCTGAAACATACAGTACCCATGGTGCACTGTTAGCTTTTCCAGTGCAGCATGGTTTCATATTGTGTTGCCCATTGTTATCGGCCTTATGCTTTCTATACATTGTTCATCTCTGTAAACCACATTAGGCTGACTGCTGCATGCTCTTGTTACCTAGTGCTGATGTTAACTGGAGTTGCAATGAGAGAGGAAATGAGAGAATGATGAATGGTAATTGTTGTTTTATTATTGCTGTATGTTTGGCTCGGAGCAAAATGAATAGTTGTCTGCTCTGCCCTCACAGGACGTTTAGGGCTTCTTTGAGTTTACGTGGAGATGTCAGTGTCTCGCCGTTTCAGACTTGTTGTAATGAAAACAAACAGCCGAGGCTGGGTTTTTGTGCGCTGATCACCAGGCATTTCATGGCCCATTTTGATTCAATTAGGATCCAATTTTTTTCTGGAGCACTAAAACAAATGGGCTGCAGAGAGGACTGAGTCAACACATATGTCTTCTCCAGAGGGGTACGGTGTGTGTTTTGGAGCGTTTACATTAATATAATTTGAAGAGTATGAACATCCGAAGGGAGACGGTATCCTTAACCATCACATTTGGCTTTCTGGACCAACCTGATTTCGGTAGTTTTTGGGGAGAATTGCCAGACTAAAGCCGTGAGCTGAGGGAATCAACGAAGCCAGCTCGTATCCGTTTTCTCTGTGTAAACAAAAATAGAATTATTGTGCATATTGAAAGTATAACAGACTGAGCACAACTTGCTCCTTTTATTTCTTGTGATGATCCGCTCCACCTTACATCCTCCCGTCATGGGTTTGTTTACGTGGTTGGTGTATTCCATTGTTTCATCAGTGCCGGACTTGCTTCGCTGTGGTGTGTCTTGGTTAGGACAGTGTGATGATGATAATTATGATGATTATGGTTCTGCTCTTCTATAAGTGGAGGAAGGGCTTGCCTTCTCCTCCCTAAGCCCCTCAGAGACGGTGTGTACTGTAGCATGGCGTGGGAGGCTTGCCTAAGAAGAGAGAGGGGAGGAGAGGGGGGACGGGGACGAAAACCCCTCCTTCAAAGGTCACTCCATCTGAATTCTATGTGTGAATTCAGACATGCATTCCTTTCACGTATCAAGTGAGAGAAAGTTTAATTTGCATACGTATGCATACTTGGTCGCTGTACTGTAAATACTGTAATCTCATTGTGCATGTAGGTGTACACACAAACACAGAAGCCATCACCCAATCACAGGGGCTCTACCTGTGTTGTTGCTGTGGCGTGTTTGCGGCGCAGTAAGGGTTAAGCAGTGCGAAGAGCCTTTTCAGTTACTAGCGTGACTAATGGGAAGGAGTTTCATTCTGTATCTGCTACAATGAAACCTTGCACTTTAACGTATTGCTGCTGGCTCAGCAGGATCAGTCCTGCACATTTAACCCTTTCACCTCCCGTCCAGCTCTGTTCTCCTCTCGCCCTAAACTCTCAACTCTCTCCCACTCTTTTTTCTTTTTCCCCCTCCACATTTTCTCCCTGCACGCACCACAGGACAGATGTAGTTTGTTACCCCCCTCATTATCACCGTGGAGGGAGGGGTAGCGCGCACACACACACAAGTTTACATCGAGGCAGCAGTACTGGGAAAAGAATTAATCTTGTTGTTCCAGCAAGCCACACATAAACTAAACACAAAGTTTGTTCAGTTTTGTTTTCTCATAGACCATCAACATTTAGTTATTGTTGAGTACATTGTTGAATTCTCAATACATATTTAATTTAATTGAGTTTGTAGTTCTTGTGTGTGGACTACGTTTTTCTCTTCACAGAAGCTTTAACAGGACACAAAGAGGCTCACTGTCCCTTTTACAAGATTTGGGAGAGACAATAAGTCAGTGTCTGTCTGTGTGCCTGCCATAGTATATGCATGTGCCCACATGCCTGTGTGTGTGTGTGTGTGCGTGTGTGTGCAACCATTGCCGTGCAAATGTGCCTGCGAGACAGCAGTCTATTTACGAGGCGCTGCAGCTGGTGTCTAGCGTCTGGACCCTGTCACGATCCCTGACACTGTCACTGGCTAACAAGTAGGACTCATTGTGCCAGGCGAGCACCCTCTCTCTTCTTTCACTCCGCCTCCCCCGTCACCCCCCTTCTCTTCACTGTGCTTCTTTTTTTTTTCTTTTTTTTTTTACTCCACTGTACACCCATGCTCACATACATAAATGTAATAGCTGCTTTGGTTTGTTCATGGGTTAGGTTAGAAATCATCTTATTTATGTAATATGTATTATGCTCTGTAGATTATATGCAGCTAATATCACTCTGAACATGGCCTTAGACCCAGGCCTCATTCAACTTCACCGCTTTAACTGAGGTCTTACTGAAACATGACTGAGCTCAGTCTTGGTACGGTCCAGGTTCCTGTCACACTCCTGCCGATAAGCCAGTGTGCATCTCCTTCTATTCCACTCTTCCCTCCGCCCCGTATTTTTTCTACTCCCCCATTTGTAGGTTAGACTCAACCACAGGCAAAATAGTTGGGATCATCAGATGGTTTTAATGTTAGCCTCAGGCTGAGCCCAGTTCTTACCGACACTCTTGACATGTGTAACAACTAAAAATGTCTCCTTCTCAGGGGTGCACATGCTTGCAGTTTTCCTTCCACAATGTAATAACAGCTGTCACCCTCACACGGTTTTGGGGAGACGATTAGTCGTAAATCATGTATCAAAGTTATAGCTCATAATGGCAGAGTTGTTCTCAAGAGTAGGGTTTGAAAAAGTGTGAAACCACTGGTATCTACTTGTGGATACTGCCTGTTATTTCATACAACTCTCAAATGGCCCTCAATTGTGACAATCAATGATTTATTATCTCGAGCCGTGATTTTCTGCCAGCTCTGCTGTCAAAAAAAATGCTTCTTCCCTTATCTGTCTCTCCAATGTGTGGCAGGTCATCGGTCCAACGTATGAACGTCAGTGGGATATTGAGCTACATCTATTTACCTTCCTCTTTGTCTGTGAGATACGAGCATGCTTTCCTTAAAGTGTAAAGTATAATCCCTCTCTATCTTTCCTGCCTCCTCCCTGTCTCGGTGTGTGTTGGACTACCTCATGCTTATCAGCGCTCCCCCTCTTGGCTCCCTTTCCCTCCTGCCTTCCCCAAGACCCTCTTTACCTCCTTTTTCTTTCCCTGGGTGAGTCCAGGGGGTCCCCTCAGGGTCTTTGTGAGCCTTGCTCAGCATTGCCACTCTGGGAATGGGACTATGTCGAGCTGGAATCACCATTGCTCCTCTCTGTCTGTCCCCCCCGCCCCCCCCCTCCTCCTCCTTTCCCTCTTTAACGTGCAGCCTCATTCACTATAGGATCTTTGTCTGCCATCCTTATAGCTGCCAACTATTATTTTCTCTCAGAAAGTCTGTCACTTCACTATCTGTTAGTCTGTCAGTCTTCTTTCTGGTCTTTTTTTTAAATTCTTTTCTTATCTATAGTGTCTTGTCCTCTATGACGAGCCACCTTTGCTCTCTGTCTTGTCAATGAGTCTTCTCTGCTCTAACAGTCTAACCCCCCCCCCAAACTATCATTTGGGAGCATATACCTGAGCCCGTGCTGGTAGTTTGCTGCCAACCGCTGGCCGGCCAACATCTGGAAATTGCTGCTGCTGGAAGAGAATAAAACGTCCCAGAGCTCTGGTCCTGATCGTGAACCACTGTTAGTAAAACCATTGTAGATTTATTGGACTGAAAGGCTTTATCTGTTTTCATCACATGAGAAGGAGACGCTTTGTATGGTGTTGGTCAGAGGAAGAAAAATGTTGCTGCAAAAGAGGTAGTATGAGATGACATGATCACATAGAGGATGGGCGGGTGGAAACGCAGGGGAGAGGACGATAAGTAAGTCGAAGTGAAATTATCGGCATGAGTCTGACAAAGGCAGAGCACAAGAGAAAAGATGGTGACTGGGTGTTTGAAAAAAGACGAGTAAGTGAGAGTGTGTCAGAGAGAGAGGGAGAGAGCAAGAGCGAGGGAGCATTGTCAAACAAAGAGAGTCCTGAGTCAGCAGAGCAGTTTTCTCCCCAGGCAACTGGGCAGGGCTACTCCTCTCCCTCCCTCTCCCTCTCCCTCTCTCTCTCTCTTCCTCTTCCTCTCCACTTGCTTCACTCCTCCCTCCCTCCCCTCACAGATCTGTACTTTTGCATGCTAGTATTTCTTGCTCTCTGCACTCTTCCTTTCGCTCTGTCGCTCCATACACTGTGAACGGGTAGAACGAGACCACAAGTTCTGAAAAGGGCAATCGGGGTCTA